CCTACACTTTTGTTCACAATGAAGGTCGACACATATTTGTGCGTGAACCACCAGAGGGTGACAGCACTGACGCTTTGTGTGTGGACACACGAATTGAGACCCTCCTCAGCCACTACACGACCTATCTTCAAAAATTTCTTCTGTGATTTTGAAGACCCCTTCTGATGGCTTCCAAACCCCTTAGCTCTTATTGCATGCCGTTCGTCAATTAGCAGCCATTAAAGTGCTTACTGTTGATGTGTAAGTAACGTGCAGATAAAAACAGTGTTAGTGCATGAGAGGCCTTCGAAAAAGCACTTGTAGACAAATCAAATCGCCCATATTAACAGTCTACTCTGTTAGTGGGGCAAATCAAGTGGGATGCGGTCTAACTCATAACCCGTCGTTTATGCTCTTCAGTGGCGGAGCCGGTGCAAATATTTTCATCTCTATACTCCTATTACCTCACTTGGTTGGGAATCCCTGTTAATGCGTGTAGACTTTGTGACGCCATTTAAATTATCATGAGCGGTACTTACAATATTTACCTATTTCATTACTGATTTACTTTTCCTTATTGAGGTTAAATAGTTTGCTCATAAAAGCAACAATTTGTTGGCTGAAAGACAGGATTACGACTGTCTCTGACCTGGAAGGACATGACTAAGACCTGGATTTGGCCTAAAGGCCTCCAAATATTTTGGAGCGATTTCAGAACAGTACGGAAATGCATATCGTAATCCCGTCTAAAATATCCATCCCGAGTCTGTAAGTCTAATTGCCGCATTGATGTTTGAAACCCTAAAAATTCCTTTCTCGATATTCGACGTGAATTTTAAAGTACAAACTCCATATTATGTGAATTTCTTGAAGTTTGAGAAGAGCTCACACCCACTTCAAAGCACGCCAATTTTAACGAAGGACAATCTAAAACGGTCTCTACTTTGGGGGTGGAAAGAGACGCGCAATGCAAAGAACGCTCTCACGTATTACTCTACCCACTGGCAAATCGCATATTTGCGGACTGTTTGGATATTCTACCATGACACGAATAGGTGTGCATCAATTCCCGAACCTATCTTCCATCCGAGTTTCTTTGAGAAGAGACTGGCGATATGCTGGCATCTCTACACCAGACAGCACCGTATCGACACCGTTATGCTGATAGCACACCCCACTCTGAGCCGCGTCACCATAATGGAGTCAAGATGCTAAAAACGGTGCAGTTGTGCATTTCATTGGGTCCACAACTGACACGCTGCATAACTCAACAGCCTCGTGATGGAGGGAGGCACACTTCATTACAAGAGTTTCAAGTTCAAGTTAACATAAGCCGGTTCTTCTAACCCTTTGCTGATCATTTCATAGTATACTTGCCAGCAGAATACTTAAATAAGCCACCTTCTGCAAAGCGTAACATAAGCAGAAGGAGCCAAAACAAGGAAGTCTTTGTTTAACTCAAACTTGATTTAATACGTCTATAGTTTTTCGTATAAGTACACCTATCAACACTTTTACAGTTGAAACTTTTGAAGAAGCAGCTACTTTACAAATGGCATTTCAGTCCACAGTTTTTTCACAGTCAACTCCAGAAGATAAATTATAAGAGAGAGAAAAGTGTGTCAAATTGGATTTAGCTCGAAGGCGCCAAAACTAACATTCAGTTCCAATTGCGTCTACCGTTTTGACCCCTGTAACATAAAACACCACCTTGACTTAACGACAAAGACCCACACATCTCTGCTAATTGATTCGGCATCTCAAAATTCCAGCACAAAAGATTTTGTCTAGGTGGCTGAATTGAGCATGCTGATAGATGGGGTTTTAGCGGTATTTCAGAAGTTGCAATGAGGCTTCATGCCATGCGTCGGGTGAGATCGAAATTGCGAAGCAGTCATTAAACAAACATAAGCATAAATGATAATTTGAACCTAATTTTGTAATAATACAACTACTTCTAGTGGTCTTAGCTAACCTTGACCAAATACGGCTTAAAAATCAAATGGTATCTTCTATTAAACAGAAGTTATTAACAAAGGCTCTGACAATTGATAGGCAGTCTTCACAAGGAGGTGGCAATCTATAGTCGTCCCATGTATTGTCTCTAAACGCAAATATTCCTAGAGGATACTCAAAAAATCTCCCATTATTTAAGAAAAGCATATTATGCCTCAAAATCTAGCGTCCATTTTAAGTTGCTATTTTTTCCGACTTTCGTACAGAAGATTTAGTAGCGAATTTTTGAACAACAAAGCACCAAATAAAGCCCTACCTTTTTCGTCCTAAATGCCAGACTGGACGCTCCCATTTTAGTGTTAGAGGATGGGTCCACGACGACTTGAACAGATTTAAGCAAATGTTGCGCTTCCGTGGAGCTGGCAAAGGCTAGTCCAAACGGTCCGCTCTCACTATGGAAGGAGTGAAATTGAGAACTCCACATACGGTAATCCATTTCCTTGTACAAGTCAGTGCTGCTCACTAGTCTGCTTTTCTAAAACAACGAATCTGATTACAATACATTAGATCCACATAACTCAAACTTTAAGCAAATGAGACAAGTACAATTCACCTTGTGCAGGTAGTAAAGGGATAAGCGCAAAGCAATACCATGTAACATATTCTTCACTTCATTTTGCCCTTAAAACAGGGCGGATGCTTGAGTACAATATGCATGCATAGTCGATCAAGTTGGTGGCAAAGACCACAATTTTAAAGATATTATTTTATTTCAGCATTATTACACTTAAGGAAATGGAGAGAAGTGCCTTAAGGTATTCGCGACGGAGCCACAGCAAAAGAACTTCGCAGAGCAGTTTTAGTTAACGTAAACTAAGTGATTTCTAATTAAAACAATGCTCTCGCCTATGACTTAGTGTGATCAGGCAATACCCTTTGCAACAAATGGCCCACGCATGCAAAATTCCAAAGAAAATCCGATTTTGATGATGATAGGGTACACCAATGAAAGGAAAGCGTTAATATTCCAAAACTGACAATAAAACAAATAACAATAAATTGCTCTAAGGAACAAATGCAGACACAACGATACTAAAATAAAAATATTCGTGACAAGCATTTGTGAAAAATGAAGATAATCACGTGCAAATATATAGGACAAAGACTGACATTCCAGTCGTAGAAGCAAATTTTTATAGTATCCGAGCTTAAATTCTCCTCAAGAGTAACAACTCCAGAGGCAACCTTAACCCATCTTTGTCGTGATGCCGCATAAAGACGTGCTATGCAAGCCACCTTAATTGCTTCACCAGGTGCAGCAAGGTCTTCGATATGATGCATGTCCTCTGAAGTTAGACAGTTAGACCTGGTCATATGGATCTAAACAAGAAAGAACTATTTTTTGAATAATTTTAATGGGCGTAAGTCCTAGGAATCTGATAAATTTATAAATTTTAACTAAAGGACAATGAGATAATTAGTTTATTGCAAAACATTTAAAAGGAGGCTGCGGATATTTTTCACTAATTTAAAATAAAAATCAGTAGGTAGTGCTGCGCGTCGAACTGTGTGGGAAAGATCTAAAGCAAAATAATGTCTAAGACATAAGCAACAGAGGAGACACATCAGGAGCTAGCAGAAGGTTGTTAAAAGATTAAAGTGGTGTCCATTATTCGAAGGTCAGATGATCAGTTGAATAAACAATATACAAATTTATAAATTAGTTCTCTTGGGGTAGGGTTTAAGCATAGGCTATTTAATACATGTAAGTTAATAATGAGGTCAACTCAGCATATCCGTGTTCTGTATTCTTCCTTAGATGAGTGTGTGCGCCATTTTAAAAGGGACCGGTTATCGTGGTTCCGATCCGACCATGAACTACAAAGTACCTTCCTGGGGTTAGGATACGAAATTACTCTACCGTTTGTTTGCTTTTAAGGTAATATTTAGGGTGTTATTCGATGTTTTCCTGACTTGCTGATTGCATTGTCCACTGAGCAATCGACCAGGCTAGTACCGTTGCTCCCTTTTAAATGCGATGTATTTTTATGGTGGACGGGGTCGAGTTCTCAATAACTTTGGTGAAGTTACATGTGTGATGGCAACTATTGTTGGTTTAAGTTCGAAATATACTGTTCGAGCATTTTTTTCTATTGCATCTCGAAAGCCTCCTGCTGCAACTTGGGCCAAACAAACCCTGTTAAGGCTATAATAATGCATACATTCAGCTTTGTTGATGTGTTCTTTGCCAGTAGTTCAACCTCAATCATGAAAATGGCAAGTACATCCTTGCAAAGAGAAATGGGTTTTGATCAGCGTGGAGGGACGGAACCATTGAGTAGGTAGTATGCTTGCATTCACAAAGAATGAGAATAGGTTAGGGTTCGGCTTCGTTAGAAAGTCAGCCTACAAGACCAAAAGCAATATGGATGCGAGTGAGCACCAGCTACTCAGGTGCTCATCTTATTCCGACGGTATGTCTACTCAAGGATCCGGAAACGGAACTGGCAGACAAACAGAGAGTGTATTACATACCACTAGATGAGTGGAAAAAACTGGCGATTGTACTAAGCGCACCTTAGGAGATGCAAAAAACAAAAAACATAAAAGCTAATCAAATTTGCTCCTACTGAGGGACCTCTTTTAAAAACAGTGAAAAATAAACATTCGGAAAAGACTGTTAAATAAAATGTACCTTCACAATGGATCCTGCAGATCACGGTCTCCCGAACTCTCAAATTTTCCCAGTGCACCTTGAAGGAAATGCATCTCGAAGGAACAATGGTATGGGAGTCCTGATAGACCTGCGTAATTTGGCAAATAGACCTATCTTTTGCACTTAAGGGACTGCAGGCCACAGTCGTAATTCGAGAGACCATCGAGAATTAAATGTGCTGAATACACTACCGTTGCTTAGTGACTAAAGGAAATTGCTTGCCCACTGAAGGTCTTTCTCTTTAACAGGGATACCGTTAATTGTATAGGTCGGAATGAATCGCCTTTGATTCCAGCAGCAGGTTCAATGAGTTCCCTTTCAGCACTCAAGGCTAATAACTGAGTTGAAGTTAGAAATTTCCATCCATGAAACCACGCGAGTCGCCATGCAGGTGTGCAGCTATGAATAAGTAAATCTGTTGCTGAGTTAGCTCCAATACAAACAGTAAGGCTGGGTACATTGGACTACGATCATAGTGCTGCAGAGGGGGCACAGCGCTCAACTGAATGTAGAAGAGAATCATGATCAGGGGCCGGCGTACTGCAAACGACTAAGAATCCAAGGAAAGGACGATCAGGACGTGTGCTGCACTCAGCGATGTAAAAATGAATGAAATCTCAACGAATGTCCTCAATTGCTTATGCAGCTTGTTCGCTTCTTTGCACTAATATATAACAACTCTGTAAAGTGACATTCCCCTCATTAAGGGAAACAATGCGAATGAATCATAATTCCGTGTTGTTTGATGCTCGATGTTTTTTTGTTGATTAAGGTATTTCCAATCCGCGTGTCCATTTGTTCTGCCTTCTCCTGTCCCAGGAATATGCAAGAAGGCGTTGAGGACGAAGGAAACACTAGGGCCTACTCCTATTGAAAAATCAGTTACCATAAGCGAACACAGAAGTCGTCACCGTCTATTCGAGCCAAGAACAGCTTGTATCTGGTTGGCAGTATGCGAAGGTCTAAGCTCCATTTCCACTCCTCACAAATGACACCAATATTTGGGACTCTACTGCTCTGCCTATTGCCCCTGCATCATCCAACCCAATCCATTGTCTCATCCAAAGTTGATCGCAGTCGTAGACTGGAGGTCTGGACAGTGAAATAGTTAAACGCTCTGTGGCATGGAGGACCTGCAGAGCAACAACATATAGCGCATTGTTCGGAGAGCCGACATCTCGGTTCGCACTCATCGTTCATTTCCTCTGGTGTGATGCTCCCTACGGCTTCTGCAATGATGGGCACTTCCCCACTTTGTTCATCATAATGCCTCCGTTTTTAAACACCTAAACAAGTGGTGTTACCTCCCTTGTAACCAGCTTGCAGTCCAAACTTCATTCACTGTGTGCGATAGAACTTGTCTTGTAAATGTGTGACATGTGAGCCCTCTGACTGATGCACATATGGGTGGCTCTCCACCAAGGCACAACGATTCGTGCTTATTAATGTGTAAAAGAGCTGCCTCACAGAGGGTTTTGTGTGTCGCTTCGGCGGCATCCAACTGCCACTCGTCATTGGCGCGGCCACAGCTGCTGCGCGTGCTGATCTTGCAGATTGCTTGGCTCCAAAACAATGCGTGAGGATAATGGAAGGGTCAGCCAATCCATACCATCGCATTCGATAGGGGTGCGTCAGGCTATGCTGGTGCCGTCGAGCATGAAACACTTCCCCAAGGATACCAATAGAGTGCATAATGGAAAGACAATGAATGCGGAAGTACCTGACCATGCAGTACAAACAATCAGCGACTGCACAATCTCATCCTCACGCAAAGGGAAAGGGAGATTTGACACGGGAGGTCGAATCGTACCTGAGGAAACCACAGGGACAAGAAAGTGCCCTGTTCCTCCAGATGGGAGTGCACTGGTCTGCGTTTTTTCCTTGAGACTACACACAAACACACGAAGGGAAAGATGTAGCGATTTATACGACTCCATTCTTATCTTCTTGTCCGCTTGCATCGCCTTCCCATGTAGCTACACGACCTTAGTCAAAGGGATGCCGATCACCTACTCCTCGGCAGCAGCAACAGCAGTGAAACACTTGGAGCGAAGAGGGCAGAGGAGAGAGGATTTTGGTTCTATAAGCCTACCGTTATGGCAATAAAGTCGGGCTCTGCTGCATTCCACTGGTTCGTGCACCGAGTTAGTGATCTCATGGCGAGAAACTTAAGCAGCCTTTATCCGCATGTCATATGCTTGTGATCATCACGAAACTATTAAAATCACTACAAGTACTTTTTTGAAGGGAATGCAAGGAAATTTTTTGCAATGAAAGGAGGCATGAATTGTGTGCTTGTGGATGCAGCCTCGAAATTGGCAGGCGGCACAACGCAGAGGGCAGTTGTTTTGGGGGAAACTGCATCCACTCAACTGCAATGCAGAGGCAATGAGGATGCGCTTCTTTCTCGGCGTTTCATCCTTTCGCTCACGCTCACTCGCACCCAGGTGAGCTTCGGTATTGCAGAGCAGTCGTTCCAATTGCCGTTGATGAAGCACAAAGTGTTGTTCGACACGGCCGACTATTGACAGCACTTCCTCTGAAGCGGCGGTTTTGGAGGGCTACACGCACTTCATGGATGGTTAATGGATGGAGAATGCGCGATCTTTTACGCTTCACGGCATTGGATTGCGCCACTTCCCTAACCGCACCACTTGCATGTCCATCCCTGCAGACAGAGATGTAGTAGGGTAGCCACTTCTGTTTCGTTGACCCACCATAGCAACTTAGTTCAAGGCCCTCCAGCCATAAATCATGCCGCTTTCGATCGCACTTGCTCTCACCATTCACCATCGCTCCCTCTATGTGAGGCGTTTGTAACGAGTTCTTATTCGCTGGTACATAAGGCTCAACATTTCAGTGGCCAGAAAACACTCAACAAAAACTAGACTCATGTCCCACTCAGAGCACAGCTGGCTGATTGCAGCGACTAAAGGCCCACCTTCAATTAGACACCCTCTCGATACAACTAACTGCCATTACTAATTCGATCCACCCGATTGCGGCCAACGGGCTCGTCGACACAAGCATTGCTTGACTTGACTTTGACGGGTCTCGTCCCCTCAACCTGCATCCATGTTGTGCCCTCTCAACTCCTTTCTCAACCTTTCCATATCACTTGATAAAAACCTGTCTTAGTCTATGCAGTGATGGATTCAATGCAAACCTCACATCCCACATCCGTCCATATTGGAGAAGCCAAAAAATTTAGCGACTTCGAACGCACCATGGTGTGCAGTTATTCGGTGCCTCGGCTACACGCAACAACATTGTTGTTGCTGATTGCGAGTTCACATACACTACTCCACATGCCATGGGCATTGTTGCGTGCATAGTGCAATCACTCGTGCAAAAGTGCCACCGAGGCAGAGCAAATGTAGCAGTGTCGCTGGGTCGGTGAGAGAACTCCTAGGTTGGTAGAGGTCCCATTGAAGCACGTTTAATAATCAGTTCCAGAAGGCGGGAATGCGATCATCTTATCACCTTTTGGTGGCATGGACAAGTGTGATCTGCAAATTCTTCCCGGATGCGGGGTAAATACCGACGAGACGTGGTAGTCTGTCCATACAGAGACTGACGAGCCTGTCGCACTCCAAGCCTACAATCACCTATTCATAAAGTTTGCTAAACATGCAGCGCACCTAGTGAAACGATGAATATGGGAACGAATAAGCAGAGGTGAATGTGTAGTTGAGGCGGGCAAGAGGGATCATTACAACATGTAGAATGGTGGTGGAAAGGCCAGTTCTTTGATAGTTTTGCAAATAAAATAATTGGGCGCTCATTGAGCTGGGGAAGTTAAGTGAAAGCAGTGAGATTTGCAGGGTTGGAAAAAGTAGAGAAAGTGGTTTAAGTTAGCTGTACCGAGGTCGTTTGTGACTGCTGTCTGATTTGCACATCGTTGGAGTGCAGGCTCGGCAGCGGCTGACGAAGGTGTGAGTGTGCGTCGTCTCGGCATTAATGCATCTTGTCGGCTACCACTGCAGTC